TAGTGTGTAACAATATGCTGTATCGTTAAAAACATAGAGTGCATAATTACATATCTTTACAATTTCCCCTAAAAAGTATATGAAGGAGTGCGAAATACTTTTCTATCGTAGTTAAATAAAGAGTTGATTAAATAGACTTTTCATTATTTATCACTAGGTAGTTGTGCAATCCAAAAGTCTTGTGATCGACGACGTGTGAGGATGAGTGTATATTATTTTTCGTGCAAATAGTGTCTGACAACAAGTATCCAGTCATTAGTTATATTCTCTACCACTTCTATGAGTGAAATGCCTAAGGAAAAGTTGTAGACATCATCTTTTTGATGTTTTTTTATATAAGAAAGAAAGATTAGTTCTGCGAAGAGTTCTGTTTTCGGCGAGTTCTTTTTCAAAGTTGCGCAATCGCAAATATATATGCTTATTTTTACAGGATGATAATAATACTGATAATAAACTTCTGTGGGGTTAAGTTAACAAAGGTATTAAAAATTATTTTAAAACACGGGAAGTTTAATAATCGTTTGATTGTTAATGGCTTAAGTATTCATCAAAGGATAGATAGGGAAATTATCATTGGGAAAGGATGGCTCAGCATGATAAAATAAAATGTTGAAACAGAGACGAAATGTGATCGGAATGATCGTGGAAATAAAAACAAACCGGTTGGAGGTAGAAGATTTGAAGGGAAGATGGAAGATGAAGCAGGTGGCTGTAAGGGAACAAGAGTATGAAGAAATAGAAGAAAATTTTTCTTAATACATTAAGTCTCTTTTGTACACATAATTCTGGTTTTTCAAAATGTATGGCTATTGCCTCGGCAATGCAAAGAAGATGCAGTCTAATTGTCTTAGGAAGGCTTCTACTTACCTTGTAGATGACTTTGAAGGCAGAGTCTGTCTTGGTTGAGTGACCTGTGTTCACAAGGTGTTCGATTATAAAACTTCTTATTGAGCCGTTGCCTCCTCTTTTTAGCCACGCCGGACAATGTTCTTGAATTCTTTTGGATAAAGTACGCATCGAACGACCTATATACCTAGCTCTACAAGAGCAGGTAAAATGGTAAATGCACATTGAGTTTGAATCATGTCACTATCTTATTGGTTGGTAGTATTGCATAGGGATGACCTTAGACCTAGACCTAGAAATTCATTTGGAGAAACCTTAAAATAGACATGATTGGCTAGAATTAATGTGTGTTTATGTTTAATCACACGATGATAAATACATCTGTTTGTTTTTTAACTTCAGACGTTCACCTGCACTAACTGCTATAAATACCATAACATTACTTTGGTCTAAAAGCTATGAAGATCATAGTTCAGATTAGCGTAAATGCGATATTTCAGTGTAATTACCTTATAGTTTCTTCCATCCTAGTTTTGCTTCAGATAAAGTAAGTCGTAACGCAATATGCATCTTTCCATGTATGGAATAGTTCATCTGCTTTTATACCAGTTCTACATTGACAGTTAAAATAAATATTGACATTTTAAGAATAAGATTTATACAGATGTTTCAAAACCAACTTTCATTTCCCCTTGCATTCAGTGGGTTGTGTTATCATTCATTAAATTTCTATCTTATATAATAGTGAACTAACACAATTTCTTTGCTTTCCTCTATTCGTTACATTTTCTCCTTCATGATCAATTCAACTATGATCGACCGAACAAAAAGTATTTTAGCATTTAAAACTCAAGATAATCCACAAAGTATCATAACTCGTTCAGATATTTGGACCATACTGTTCAAATTTCTTCAAAATACACAAACTGTTTGGAACGGCTTGTAATTTATCGGTCGGTTTGTATGCTATTATCCTATGGATAGTTTTCTTTGATATACCTTACAGAAAAGGCAGTCAACCCAAGTATATATATATATATATATATATAACTACTCATATTTGGATTATGTGATTTTCTAGGCGCATAGATGCAGCAATATTTTATTGAGATTACAGTCGGATGGTGATAAATCATTGAACTTTACAAATCTGTATTTATTTTGCATTGTTTAGTTCTTAGATAGATTGAGTTAGCTACTGTTTTGTGTGTAGTAATGAAGTTTCGAATTGTATACACAATACCTTATACTGGCTTTTATAAGGGGTCATATGCAAACTTTCTAAAAGAGAAATTTGATCATTACCAAGGAGAATCACTTTCAAACTGTTAAACAACAACTTAAGGAATATATTACGGGTTTTTCCTTTAAAAATAAATAAATAATTTTGATAACTGATCATGTGATGTAAATCCACTTGTTTGATTGACCGTTTTCTGTCGCAATGATATTTTGTGTTTACTTTGGTATTGATAATTTTTGTCTGTTTAGTAACTCTTCATGATAAACAGTGTACCTCGAAAGATTATTTCCAAGAATTTTTGTTTTTTACTCATTTTCAGTGTTTTTTAATGTTACAATTCTTTTTCAACTCACCTTTTTAATCAGCAAACAAAATCATCCATCCCTTGCATAATATTTCATTAACATTTCTTATATGATATCAGGTACTTCTCAACCCTTATTGACTTACTTTATCATTGTACTCTGGCAGTTAAGAAAGTTTTTATTAGACTCATAAAATGTTTAATATTAATGTATGTCCTGTTCAATGTTCCTTGGGTTTTATGTGAACTCGTAATAATCATGTTTCTATTTTACACCTCATTATAGTGATATTTTGATAATGTTTATGTTTTTTTATTATCTGAGTTTTCAATTGATTGACTGGTAGACACTAAAGGCAAATCGATTTTCTGTCCATCGATCTTTCGTGTCGCAAATTTTCGTTTATGCTCATGACAAACACATACTTATGGATTTATGCTATACAGTTCGAATTTTTTGATATTCCGACAAAATGGGTGGTCGGAACTAGTCAACAGAAAACCCTGGACGTAGTCCTAGGGTTGGCATAATTCATCAAGATCTACCTGCGACCTTGTGGTTATGGCTACTCGTCGTATTCATACTCACCTCTCAAAATTCCCAAGCCCGAAACATTACCACAAACTATTTGGTCAGCTATTGACACGTAATTCGTCGCAAACTGTTTGCTTCAATTGTAATATTAGTAGTCAGGTAGAGGAAACCCCTATTTATTTTACAATAAATAGTTGGTAATAACTTATGTTAATTGACTGTTTAGCCTATTGGTTGGAAAGAATCATGAATTTGCTGACTGATATTTTTAATTAACATGTATTTTAACTGCCATATTCGAAGATGTCTGTTGTTTCTATCGTATTATCTTTAAGGATTTTAACTGTACCTGTTGGGTTATAATGTTTTACCGATCATGGTTGTCAATCAGAATAACTCTGTTTGATGCCATATTATTTGGCAGAAAGAAAACGGAATACTAACAAAGGTACACATTTATGTTAGGCGTAGACATGTTCATTTTTTGTACTCCACTTTCATTTGCTTAGGACTAGTAATAATACTGCACAGTCATGATTACCTTGTTTCTTACATAAGATTATTTATTTCTTTAGATTTTCATCAGTGAATGGTTTTAGGAAATCGCATATGCTAATTTCAAATAAGATTCATGCGACGATTAGGAAAATTCTTATCGTAACACAAAACATCATTACTGTTTTGAATTGGGGAAATTAAAGTACAGATTACTCAATTAATGGAAGTTTTGTTGATCAACTGTGTTTTATTTCAGTTATTCAAATAGTAATTCCTAATTAGTTATGTTATATGACTACTATGTTTCATATTATTGGCCCTTTGTTCTCTTAGTTGGCTCTTCCATTTGTGTTGGTTTTCTTTATGTTGATACATGGCATCGTCACCATGAACTTGGAAAGATAATTGATTTACTAGCTTTTCCATACCTAGCTAACAGTTTCTCCTGTTCACTTAAAATGCGTTAAGTTGTTTATACTAATTATGCTGTCAATATTTGCATATATGTGTTTATTGTCTATACTCGTGTATTATTCTCTGGCCTCGTGTTTGATCATTACTATTTTCATTGGATAGTATATCAAGTCTGTCAAAATATGTCCATGGATTGGTTAATGACTTGACTGACATGCTGCTTTTTATTTTCTTTATCCGATATTTCAACACTTTCAGATTAAACTGTTTCAAAAGTCAGTTAGTCATTATCGTTGTAGAACCTGGGACAATTTTACGTTAGATTTAATGGCCCGACCGTTGCTGCTATCTTGACGTGGTGGTCGTGCTTGCTTATCGTGATGAACCAGATAGGTTATACTGGCTGGAACAATCGTTCATCAAGGTCTTGCCATGCCAGACAGGTCTGTTGAAGAACGGTAAGACTAAAAGCATCAAACCCAAGGTCTGAAGGCGAAGTCGTACTGCTGACTGTACAGAGGTGTGACGACAGTAAGATGTTTCCCTCAGATGACCAGCATAACAGCGACGCTGTCTTCCCACAGGGAGGGGTGGGGTAAGAAATGGTAGACCCTAAAAATGCACACCTCGCCTTATCCCACGGATATCCGCCTCCGGCGGTAAGGTCTCGACAAGTACAGAGCTAACACAAAAATTACTCGAAAAAATGTCGTGTGTGACTGACCTCAAGCAATTGTCCCTTGGGCATTGTGGTTGCGATCTCAGGTCACTAAGACCACTTCTAATCGAATTTACTTTTCAGGTACCTCCAGAAGAACCCTTCCACGGTGTGGACAACCGGGAAGTGATAACCACCCTCACTGCCATGCCACATCAAAATGATGAAATAAAATAAAAACAATAAATAGTAAAGGAATCAAAACAATCATTGTAGCACTGATACTGTGAAAGTTTAAATAAGTATTTCAGAAGAGCAAGCTAACCATTTGTCTTCATCTGGTGTGTGTAGCAGTATACTAAATTGAAATGACTAATGTTTTACCTTCCTACCTTTCCTCCCTGCCTTTCTCCTTTAATCACTTATTAATTACATATTTTGTAGTAAACTGTCTCATTGATCATGTTACCGGTGTTTTGTTTTCATTTTTCAATCTTTACAGAGGCTTATCGAACTGGTGAAAAAGACAATTGTATGCCTCCAGTTTGCCAGAGTAAGTTGAATATTAATTATAATAGCCCATAAATTAATATGAATTGAAATTCGTTTCCGAAACATACTAATATCAATCGTGACTGAGCAATATTTTGTGTTGGCTTCAAATTTACTGACGGTCTACATTCTCGTTTCTATGTCTCTTCGATTATTAGGATCCTTGGATTTGGTTTATGTACGAGGCTGACAATATATTTATATCTCCTTATCAACATGAGATGTTACTTTCTGTTTGATCTGCATCATTGCTGGTTTTACCATAGGAAATGAGGGTGATAATCACTTCACTTATCTTTGGATTTTCATCAAAGTTGTTAGGTTACTATCTGACAAAATCTCTGAAGTTGTATAGAAGGCTCCCATAGCTCTTGCTTTCTTTCGCTATCTGTGTTACGGAAGAGACGTCAGCTTGCCAACCAAACTCTGAATATACTATAAAACACTCCGCCTTGTTTCAGTGTATGACTATAAAGTGTAGTCTAAAAAAGTAGAAAATATGTACAGAGTTCACATTCTGGATCATAAATTTCCAAGTTCAATAATGAGTCTATAAATTTTAATCCATTGGAATGATTAGAGCATGTTTTACGTGTGTGTAAACTGCCGCCTATCTTGATCTGCACTGTTTTGGTTAGCGTCCACTCAATAATCTGATTCATTCGTCAGGGATTTTTGGCGACATGGCACAAAACCAGTCACAGTGATGCAGTTACACTCATCTCTATTCGTCTAAGTTTTGTGTTAAATTTGTTTCCTGATTCTTCACTCTTCAATCTTATTTCTTTTAACAGTTTCCCTCATGTTTCAGCATTCGTTGGAGTTAAACTTAAGTACTCTCCTTTCCCTGTCTTGTTTTCTTGCTTTGTCGCTGTGCTGATTTGAGGTATGGCACAATCGTAACTGTCTGCTATTGCCTCATTTCCTAAGAATAATTCAATAATTTTGATTATAATTAATAATCTCACAAATCAGTTTTATTTTAGTGTTACAATTGATGGGTGTTTTTTAGTTGTGTGATATACACCACTTATTTATTGAGAAAGTTGTTTTCATTTGACTAGTGACTTTTCTATAATATTCCCTACCTTTTCTATTCTAAGGTTTTGGCGATTTGAGGAGATATCTGAAATTGTTAGCGTACGACCACTTTTGTATTGGGACCTAAAAATATCTCATATTTGTTAACTAATGGCATAAAATTTACACTAATTGCATAAGAAAATATTGACAGTGTTATGTTGATAAAGTTATTTGTTAAAGATTGTTTTATTATATTGTGGTGAACTAGAACACAAGTAGGTTCAACCAGATGTATTTGAATACAAAATTACAGGACATCTTGATAAAATCTGAGAGCCATACAGTAAATAGTTAATTTGCAAAACGTCAATCAATTATCTCAAATTTAACTGTTCCCTTTGCAAAATGTCAATCAATCGTCTCAGACTTCACTGTTCCTTCATTTCCACAACAAACATTTACTATTCTCGTTCTCTTTTCTTCGATCTTTCTAACCTTCTGCTCCCAGGCACTTCACTTTCGATTGATGATTCATACTATTTATATCTATCGACATCAGTAGCACAGTCCACAATATTTTGCTAAACTAGTTATCATTTAAATACTTCGGTGTTTTTGCGTATAGTTTTTTTATGTCCTTACCGATTTTACCAAATACATCAATTTTGATATCCTGGGTTGTGATCTAGCGTCTCATGTATTTAGCTTCATCTCTGAGAATTACTAACATTCTGTGGTCTGATTATAGTGTGGTTCACTCATATTTCTTATAATTTACTTTAGTATACTTACGTTTCTCCGTTGTGCCTGCTTTATTAATTACTATTCGGTGTGTTTTATAACGTGTCTTAATTCTTTATATAACGCGTCTAGTTCTGTTGTTAATATATGTATACTGTGTGCGATATTGTTTTGCCTCATATTTAGCTTATCTCTATAGTTTGTTAGTTAAATATAAATGGCTAAAATTAGTAACCATATTTCTTATGTTTTCGATAAATGTTCACCGAACTCTCAGAAGGGGTTGGTTGCAGCATTAATATGGTTATATTTCAACTGTTCAAGAATCATGCAACTTCCTTTCACTTACTTAATTGCCCCTGTTACCTCTTATGGAGGAGCATAGGCTACCCACCAACTCTCTCCATCCAACCTAGTCCTGGGCAGTCCTTTCCAATTGCTATTCATCCTTTTCATGTCTACAGCTTCCTTTCGCAGTTTTATTTAAATGTTTTACGTTTATTAAAAATCTATTCTTGTACTTACTGGTGAATCGTTTGCTTACTTGTACTTAGTTGATGACAGTTTGATTCAGTATTTAATATTTGTGAATAGATTTCGTTGTTTAGTATGAATGTACCTTTTTTCGCAGAGATTTAAAAAAGACTAACTACTTCCAGTTTTTTATTCAAACTTTAAGCGTCTAGCCAGTTGTTCCAGCTCATTTGTGACTATTAAGTAATTTTCGATCTTTGTTTACTCATACAATGCTGTCACCTATTTTGGCTTAGAATATTTACTTAAATACATGTACGTTGAAAAATATCTTTGCTTGATCACTGCACCAATATCTAAATGACACTAGTCTATGGAAGCCATCAATAGCTGGTTGTATAAGGAAATTTGCACTGTTTAGTTTTTAGTCTAATTTCTTTTCTATTGATTATGTCAGTCCATAACAGCAAATATTAGCTTAACAGAATGTAAACAAATCAACGGTGAACATTTTTTATGTAGAAAAGATATATAGAGTATATAATTTACTTCTTATTACACCTAATGTTCATCTGAATGTTTATTCTACTATTACTTCATATTTATTACGCTAAGTTTCAGTAAATGTTTTCCCCATATTTATGGAATATATATATATATATATATATATATATATATAGTATTTAAATACGTGTACTCTACTCATGGTTTCAGTGATGCTCTTATCTTTGTTTTATGTTTTTGTTTTGAACTTATCAGGGTGACGCAATAAGGAGGACATTTCGTATACTTCTGTTAGCAGGATCCTATTTTACCATAAGTGGTCACAGTAAATGATTGTATCGGTTAGTATTTGGAGTTAATTGTTGGTTGGTGTACAATCTATTAGGGTTGTATCGTGGTTATATATTCAATCCATACCTAATAGAAAGGTCATTTGATTAATGCTGAAGATTCATTTTGCTTCTACGTCTATAGTGATACTCTGTATTTCGTCAGTTATTCTTTTTCTGTAACTAGTATATTTTTGTCACCGTTTAATTATCATTTAGAAACAGTGATTATTGCGTAATGATGGTATATCTGTGTATTCTTAGGGTCGATCTAATAAATCTGTTCTTATTCGCGAACTTCCGGATTTAAGTTGTTTTCAAATGACTGAATTAAATCTCCAGTATTATCTTTTTTCTATAATTCATGTACAATACATGAAAAGTTATTTTTCATTCCTACTTTAGTTTCGATTCTACAAACTAAGACTTCATAGCATTGAAAAGTCATTGACTGAATGTAATATATGCAATAGTTAAGTGTATAAATGTGTAACTGGTTATTTATTCTTGTGCATTTTAGTCTTTTAAAAGATTTTTTGTAATACCTTATTAATTCTTGGAAATAATTGTTTGGTTTGTCCACTCATCATAGGCATATATCTCATTTACTTGATTAATGTAGCTAATTGCATGTAAGAATACATGATGGCTTCAATTCACAGCTTGGATGTTCATTGTATTCTATGTTTACATTTTTTCTGGAACTATTTGTTACACGTAGTTTCGTTACTTGACGGTTTTCTTTTCGTTTAACTTTACCCATTGTATGGATTATTCATAGTATTTCCCTTGCCGAGTATATTGTTTTGTAAAAGTTTTAATTAGGAAAACCCTGTTTTAACATTCAATGGTCAAGTTACAATTTAGATTATTGTTTAGGTGAATTCATCTTTCAAGCATTTTAATCACGATATCTGTTACTTGTCACAGTCCGAAAGCTTTCTGCACTGTAATATATAATAGGTGTCATTGTCTCACTATTTTTTCATAACAAATCATAATCCATTTTATTTTCGCCCCACGAAATCTGTCTGGATTATGATATTAATCACTTTTCTAACATCTCAGTTTAGGATATGAATACTTATTTGATAGTGTAAATAGGAAAGAATCCTTTGATTATAATATTTAACTTATTATTATTAGTAGTACTGTAATATGCTAAAAAACTCTTTGTTGTGCGCTATACTAATTTTTTTTTCTTGAAACAAACTAATATCTTCTCCCGCCCCATTAAATTAACTTTTGTGTTATAGGTTATGAACAAATTAGTTCCGATTGTACAATCAGAAGAAATCTTTCAGTTAAGGAAGATACAACCACTTTTTATGAAGAAAGTAAAGGAAGGTCACAGCAGGATCGCCACTGGCTTCTATTCTGAGCCATATCTGATAACGTCTCTAGCCACTGTGTAGCACCATCTCTAGGACCTCAACCAGGGAGTCGTGAAGGACTAACAGAAGCCATCTCTTTGCAGCTTTCTTTCATGCCACGACACCATGTCATACACTGACCACTTCTCCGCTTCTTCCAACCACTCCCAGAGTCGGCAAATAATGCACGACGTGGAATTCTCTGGGACGACATTCGTAGAATATGTCCAAGCCACCGAAGTCGGTGTTTCAAGATGGTGACATCGATTGCATTATCATCTCTATGCCCGAACACACGATGCCGAACTTCTGCATTACTGACACGGTGTTGCCACTGGATGTCAGCAATCCTTTGGAGACAACGATGATCGAACACAGAGAGTCGTCTGACGTCCTCAACTCGGAGAGGTCAGGTTTCACAAGTATAGAGCAAAACTGCTCTCACCAACGCGTTGTAGATCCGACCTTTTACAGCCAGACTAACATCACGAAGGCGCCAAAGATGGCCCAGATTGGCATAAGCCGCTCTGGCCTTCACTATACGTGGATTGATCTCATCACTCACACTGCCACCAACACTTATGCAGTTAACTAGATACACGAACTTCTCGACTACTTCTATCTGCTCACCATCCAAGGTGAGTACAGGATCAGGGTCCTGCAAGTCTAGAATGTGCAAAGTACATACCGTACCTACGGACAATGATTGCCAACTGATTAAAATACGGAAAACTATCGACTCATCCCATGACGTTGGTACACTCTCTAGCTCCCAGACTTTTGTAAACAACGTTGTCAGTTCCTTAGTCAGAAAGCCACCACCATCTTTAAAAAGAGCCGGAGGTAAGTCATCTGGGCCCCGGTGATTTGTAGCGCTTCAAGAGTTGGAGTTCCTTGCGGACTTCCGCTTCATTTGGTGGATCAGTCGTCACAGGCTATGGAGAGCAGGACAATCCGACCGACGTTGCCGGCGCAGCAGACCAGTTGAACTGCCCTTCGAAGAATTCAGCCCATCGTCCAAGATGTCGATGGGTGTTAGTGATTGGCATCTCGTCATCCTCACAGATTGTTTCGTTCACACCAGACTTTTTGCTTCTAGTGACTCAGATGAGTTGGAAGAGCTTCCGGCAGTTACTAGATGCAGCTGCTGCTTCCAGCTCTTTAACCGGATCCCAAATCAATTATGCACATAGGTTCCAGTATCCTGCGGTAACAAATGGCGTATGAACCGATTTTCGGTCACCGGCTACCATGTGACTGCATCTCCTAACGATGCTTCACTTCCTTGTGGGTTAAACTTTTAGGTCAAAGGCTGGGGGTGTGGTCCCCTAAGAAAACCACTTGCTTCGGTCTGGGCGCCCGAGCAGTATCAAAGCCCTGTTCATATAATGTATTCTTATTTTTCAGTGTTGTCTCTAATTTTGTATGAACTTCATTATGGCTGTAAATCGGTGTAGATTTTGTTATCATTTTCACAGTATGTTATTAACTTAGTAATTGTTTTGTATTGTTTTTGAATCTATCTTTGCAGTACTTGTTGTTTGATAAATATTTTGATGAAACAATATTACTTGTCCATACTTGATTTTGTAGGGTGGATGCTTTTTAAGGTTGCATCATTCAAATTAGATGAGTTACATGCTCGGTACCTTTTTTGTATGCCTAGGTCGCTTAATTTTTCCCATATATGTTTTATTATTATCATTATTTTTCAAATCACCGAGTAAATTCTAGATTTCTACATTGCTGTCAGTATATCCTAAATAGTCACAAAATGAACTCATCACTAGCGGGATTGATACAGCAGTTACCTTGTTCAGCTAATTGGTTTGTTGAACTAATATAATAGGATACATGACAAGGATATTGTTTATTTTTAATGAAATATCGATTATTCATTAATATAAATCAAATAGAATTAAGTGACATTTGTGATAAACTTACTTTCCTTTTGACTATTATTTATGCTTTTAAGTTTTTGATTTAGCAACTTACTTTGATTGATATGGAAATGAATTTTTTGCATTTGAATCTCAAAACATTATCTTTCTCATCTTGAAAATATATCTTTCTGTATACACTTTAGGGTTCAGTCAATAGTTCATATCGTATACCGATTACTTTGAATGACAACATTGTTTCTGATGCAGTTGACATTCCGCAAACTTTACAATTCGATACGTCTATATCAAGCAGTGCTTTCTCTACATTGAAAGTGAAAGGTATATCCCATTGTTCTAAAGTGTTATTTATTTCATTCATAGATTAGGTCGAATATGTGTTTATTCTCTTTAATTTAATTTCTCAGTGTTAATCAAATTTGTAAGACTTAATCTCATTATAAAGTTATATATATAATTATTACTGATAATCGTTGTTATTCCGATTCTTTCCGTCACCAATCTCTATTACTTTTTATTGTATTATAATATTTCAATGTTACACTTTGATACGAATACGGTCGTAAGCAGCTGAAGGGGAGACATAAAGTAAAATAAATTCATATTATTTTGCTTTATTCAAATTCATAAAGGGGAACCGAATGTATCTAACTAGATTATTTACAAAGAAGTTACTTACAATTTAGTTAACCTTTGACCTTTAACAAGTAACAAATATTGTCTCCATCCAAAGTGTCTAAAATCTTAGCAGAAATATACTTATATTAAAATGTCATATAGTTGCGTCGTCAAATTTTTTCTAAGTCAGTCCTGCTATTTACATAGCTATGAATTTAATTCAGTGGTGTTTTCTATCCTAATAAATGTCAGTTATTTATATCATGTAGTGTAATTTTAGTGTATGATATTTTATTTTCAGGATCGAGGCTTGTTGCAGATGTCCTGTGATTATACAAATAGACGAAAGCACTTTCACGTGACTTTGAACTGTTATATTCTTTAATTCGATCTTCCAACCCTTGTCACTAAATAAAATGTAATGTTTGTACTTACCTTCTGTCTTGGCAAACTACTTTGCTGATTATTGCTTCAAATCATCAGAAGTGCATTTCTAAACTTCTGATTTCACTTGTACAGTTGTAGATACATTTTTTAAAGAGTCAACTTTGTTTACTAATTGTCCATTATTATTGTAGTCATAGTCTGAATAACTCATATGTATTTTTTATCATTGTTATTTTTACTTCTCTTTCAGATTATGATTTAAAAGTACATGAGATAAATCATACATTTATGAACCTTCAAAGTGGTGAAGGTGATGGTGAAAATCCATTCACTTCTTGTCAAGAGTCCTTATCTAATGCTTCCCCTATTATAACACAGAAACCTTCCAGAAAACATTCTACTCGTAATTCTCGACGTTTGGAAAAAAGCAAATTACACAAGCGGCCATCTTCTACTACAGAATCATCCATCGAATCCCATTCAATACGTTCACATCCTGAGCAGCTAGCTACTATTTCTTCATCACTCCCTAATGATACTGTGATTGTGAAAAGATGCTTTGATGCATTAGATTCACCCTCTTCTAATTATCCACCATTGTCCATCCCAAGAATGCCAGTTAGGTCTTATTCGTCTTCAGATGATGATCAGGCTCAATTGGATCAAGAAGAAGAGGATGAAGAATTCTTTGATACTCAAGAAGATATTTCTGTCAACTGCGCAATAACAAATTCTCCACAACCTGTCAAGGAGTATGTAATAATTCATCCGAACTCTGTGGTTATTTTTTTCTATGAATTGGTCTAATTAGCTAAGTCCTAACATAGTAGTTTTATGTGTTTGTTGCTACTCACGTTGATGGTATGTAATACTTTCAAATACGGATAATTTCACAATATTCCGTTAGCTTTAATTTCAGTTCCTTTTAGGTTTATTATGTACATATCTTATCTCAAAATAGTGAAACTAATTGATAAAATTTAGCATGAGATTTATAGTAACTAGAGATTCTGTGTGTTGAACTCCGGTTTTTCCAGTTTGGTCACTGAGGACTTCATCGGTGAATGGGTATGATTTGAATCTAACTACTATGTCAGTTATTATTTATTGAAGAGTTGAAAGTTAAAATATCCCAACTTTTTTAATTTACTGCCTGAAGTAAATATTAAATGTATTGAATCGTAACGAATGCTAACTCGCAAAGAAGTTTCTATTGGTTCAAAGGTCCCACCAAATTTCGTCGTCATGTGCGTCTGTTGAAGAATGAAATGAAGTTGTGATCATAATAGAATTATTGTATTCCATCGAAATAATAAAAGTATATTTATTTATTTAATTATTAATGACTAATGCCTTATGAAAATCTATTGATTAGGTTGTATATCTTGACTTGATCGATTGCGGTAGTTGAGACATGTATTATGCATGTCCAACTACTGTTTGCCCCGATGTACTATATAGCGGTAGGTTGCTAGGGACTGCCAAACTCAAAGCGTGATATTAGTCCATGCATTCATTGACGGAGCCTTGCAAATAAGCTCAGACCACTTTATCGGGGTCCGCGCGTTTATCGTAACCATTGCTAGAAGACTTTGGGTGTGACATGGCTGAGAATCAGTCATAAATAATAAAGACTCATTCATACTATCTTCGTTTGAACAGTATGTTTCTGAAATACCTTAAATTATTATTTATTTTACTTTTTGTTCCACAAATCCAGTGATCCTTGAATCATATTTTCCATGCATAGTTCCTAATACCATTAGCATTGCTACTACTCCTACTAATTTGGCTTCTCGACATACTGACGTGGTGCAGCAAATTGACACGATGCATATATGTACCAGGTTGTGCGTTGTGGATAAGTGGCTGATGGGAACCTCATTCAACTTTGTATAGATTTGTATACAGCTGACGCCATGTTTACATTTTTCTGGGGTAACATGATTTATCACCATTCGTTTTAGATAGGTTTTCAGTAGGACCAGTTATTGTATTATGTAAAAGACTTTACTGGGTTACGTATTAGGATCTTGATTTTTTCTTACTCGCTAACTTGTGTGTGTGTCACAAGTTCTCTCACCGAATTTCAAATTATCACTAATTAGTCAACATTGAAGTTCTTTAATAATCAAACCCAACCTTTTAATAGAGTAAACGCTATCGTAGGTAGTATAAATTGAAGTGTTAATTAATCTCGTATTAAAAGTTAAAACTTATTCTGATTGCCAAAAGATCATTTGAGTATGACCTTCACATTCTATTTCTTCTTGGTTGCTGATGATTGGATATAATCGCAACAATGCCGTTGTTAATTGTTTCGTAATTACTGACAACAATGAAATGCTGTCTTTTTTTTAGTAATAAAGATATGGACTCACAAAATTTAATGACTAAAGTATTTTCATGAATGATATTACATTAATTATCGATTTAGATACAAGACGATACTATATATAACGATGAGTTTTCAATTATTTTACGTACTACAACTCAACATTTTCTCGAGGTGCTTATAGACGTTTAGGCGTCATAAGTTTGTTTGTACTCGCGTGTATGTACGTTCACGCACGAGCATAACATATTGTACTAATGCCAGTGTACCTGTGAGATTTCTGTACAAACAGAATTTGTGTTCTTCAACTGAGTAATGTCTTATTCCATATTATTTTCGATTTTTTCTTAATATATACTTAATAGTTTGATTACGTTGGTACAAAATTACTGTGACTACTTTTTGTAGATGTGTGCTACTGGTATGTTTGATATTACTCATATTAATACAATCCCATTTGAAAATCGTCTCAGATAATTTATCTACCTAAAATAATCAAAGTCATTGCCTTACGATTGTATTCAAGATGCTGCTAGATATATATAAGCTTATTGTTGTATAGTATAAATAGTAGTAGTTTCATTATTATAAATAATCACGCGGTTTTATAAATTCCTATCATGCAACTCGACAACCAAGTAGTTCATGTTCTTGTCTTTGGGCCTCAGATTTTTTATCAATAATAGTAACATTAGTTTGTTGTTCAAATAAAATGAAATGGTCCGTTAGCAGTTTTGGCAGTCGAATATCTTAAACTCAAATTACATGGTTGCTACTATATAGGCTTTTTTATTGTTATGCATTCACACAGACTACAGTGTTTCCATGTACCTTTTCTCTCCATTCCTTCATTTAAACACCTCACTTTTGTCTTTTAGTAATACAATTCTAAGCATGCATTCAAATCCAACTGTGCCTATAACGAAATCTGGTCGTTATCGTTCAAGTCAGTCATCATCAAATAATCATACGAATTCATCTTTGGATGATACCTTCGACGAATTGTATGATGATGAAAAGGAAGAAGAGTGTAAGTAAATTAAATCATGATTGTTCCTGCGAAATGCTGTTGTTTATATTTTTATGTGTATATTTAACTATCATAATTTAATTGTATGTTATATCATTTACTTAACTCCTTCATAATTTAGAGGTTTGGTTTATATTTTTAGTTGTAATTACATTTAGTACTGATCTGTAATGTTAATTTATTGATGCTTGTTTTACACTCATAAAGAAGATTTTACTAATATTCAGGAGGGTCCTGAGAACAAAACTCCACCAAAAAAAAATAGACTTGCTGTAATTCGTTGTTACTTAAATTCATACTTGAAGATTCAAACCTAAAATGTTTATAATCTAGCCATAAATACAAGTCTTTTACGTCACGATATTTGATTTCGTGTCAACCAATTTTTTTAATATATCTTCTGGAGTATAAATTATAAGATAAACTACTTGATATTTACCAATTTCAGTTGACGATTTATAAACGTAGTTCTCCCCACTGGGCGTTTGGTATCAATCCTAATCTCTAAAGTAGAAAGCTGTGAGAGACTATTGTATTATTTGGTTGTGAGTCTTATATTGCTTGTTAGCTACAGAATACAAGAAGTTGGAGGGCTCCTTGCGTTACTGTTCAGTTGCAGTCATGTGTCATTTTGGTTGATATGCACGTACTGGTTTGTACTATTTCTTCTTTTAGCTGCGGAATTCAGGTATTTGATTGGAAGTTATTGTTTTTAATGTGACTGCTATGTCAGTTGTTTTTTGGATGCTTCAGTAATGGCTTTAATATCACTATAGGTGGATTGTTAGTGTTTGGATTTGATTGTTTGAGTGGGATATTGGTTTATTTAATAATTAAATGAATTTTGTTTTTGTTCTTCATACTGAAATACTTATTGTTGAAATATAATTTTTACATATAATAGTTTTCTGGTTATGATGTAGTTAATTAAGCTTATTGTTCGACATGTCCTTTTCTTAGTTCTACTAAAGAGCACGGCCTTCATGCTTCACACTTGTTATTACGATCGCCTATTTTCTATCACAGTGAGAAGTATATTTCTAAGGAATCTATTTTCTTTGTTAAACTATGAGTACTTTTGTAGATTTTGTCAAAATTTAAAACAACCAGTATTTCTTAAGTTTACTTATTCTCACTTCTGTATTTTGTTGTTTATTAAGTAGGTTCTGTGCAATCTCACGGTTCTGTGATAACACATCTTCTTTCTCAGCTTCGGATCGGAATGGATTTAACTAGAATCACTTTGCCCACATTCATTCTCGAACGTCGTTCTACACTGGAAATGTATGCAGACTTTTTAGCACATGCTGATTTATGGGCTGTTATTCCTAATGCATCAACGCCTCGTGATCGTATGGTTGCTTGTCTTCGGTGGTATTTGTCTGCATTCCATGCTGGCAGACGATCGTCAGTTGCTAAGAAACCTTACAATCCTACATTAGGTGAAATATTTCGCTGTTATTGGCCTTTATCTACAGAGAGTGGAGATGATTCGACAAATGCATCAGAAAAACCACAGGAAAAATTATATAATTCTGGTCCTGTTCCTTGGGCGCCTCACAATTCCGTAGTCTTCTTAGCAGAACAGGTAGGTCTCTACTGTCGTCATATCTTCTGTTGTGGATTCTATTGTTGTCTAAAGCTTTACTAAATAGACATAGAGTTTTGAGTTGTCTTCATATGTGTTTTTTAAATCTCTCTATTATGTGATAAAATCTACCGGATTTCTAGAGATCATACTTTTCTGAATATCATGAATTATACGGGTTTTTTCCATAATGTGAGGTATATCAAACTTTTTTCCATCTGTGATTTCGCTGTACTTTCATCACATCAATGCATCTTTTCTTTTCATTTATCCAGTTTTGAAGCCTTAATTAGTACCGATACAAACAAAAATAGCTAGTAGTCGTTGTTCGGGCTGAAAACGTTTCTATTCAGTGGTTTGGTTTTTACAAATAGAAGTAAATTTTATTCACGAAACAAAGTTTTACGAAAGCGTTAACTCAGTTTTCAGTTATATAAGACCAGTCAATGTAGACAAACCAAAATATGTATTTGTTGCATTGAGGAAATAAAAGGGCATATACTACATACACCTTCACCTTCAACATAGGGTACTTATTTTCCATATTCAGAATGTTAAATTCTACAGATTTTATAAGTTATAACTACCAGTTAGTTGTTGTAGTGGTTTATGTGGAAGCTTATAGCGTCGTTACTAGATCGTTCATGAATCAGTCACAATATTATGTGTCTCGTACATGTTATGTGAATAAACATATCGTTAATATGACATTTATTGAAATTCTATTATCCTGTAAGCATGTTCAATACATATTTCATTTTTATCAGAGATACTGATCATCAAACATGTGATATGATCGTATTTCTAAAATGTTTATTTTTTTATATTTCTGCCATTAGGTCTCACACCATCCTCCTATATCCGCCTTTTATGCTGAACATGTTAATAATCAAATAGCTGTAGATGGACACTTGTGGACAAAATCAAAATTTCTTGGTCTAAGTATAGCTGTAGAAATGGTTGGTTCAGCTGTCATATCATTACTAAATCATCATGAAGAATATGTGGTTACGTTTCCATGTGGATATGGCAGGTTGGTATACATTTCTGAGTGATTATTTACATTATAGTGTGGATTGGGTTAATCAATCCATTTTTGGGTTGTTTTTTGTTTTACTTGCTGCTTGTCTGAAAAGAAATGATTAATTTCATTTCAGAATACGTAATCCTATCGAAAACTTGTGAATTAATGGGTTTTTTATAATATAGAATCAAGTAAAATAATGTTGTTTAGCTAATTTAAAGTGTATCTTTAGCAGCTAACAACGGACTGTTAAAGCGCAGTTAGGAATCATTAGCATCCACTATAAATATCCCGTATATTTCTGATCTAACTTTTTTCTTTGGTGTGTCAGTCCATGAAACTAAAGTCCGGAAGCTGAGTATCGTATGATTTTCTAAATATAGAACACAATTTGTTTTATTATGAAATGTTAGCACGAAATTTCCTTTAATTAGGTTATATGATTGATTGAATGAATTTAGTAAACAAATCATGTGATACAAGTTCCTATTGTACGTAGATAGATCAAAGTAAATACTTGCTTTAGTACCGTTTCTCTGTATTATATATACAGTTCTTCATTTTCATCTCTTTTCAAAGGACAAGTCTTTCACTTTTTGTTATAGTTTTAAACTAGCTAGTCATAAATAATTTAAGACCTGGCACATATGTGCGCAGATCCAAGTAACTTTACAGTAGTCATAGTAACAGTTAATTTTTGCTGGATTACTCTTTGAAATAGTTTTTGTCAAGGAGTTAAAATATTTAGTTTTATCAAAGCTACCTCATAATAAATTGTAAACTGAACTATTCAGAGTAGATAATTGGTTTATAAAACTCAGTGAAATACAAAAAAAATTTGCTGGTTGGTTGACTTGTTTGGTAATAATAATGAATTGGAACTATCATCTAAGTATGAGATATGCAATCAAGACTAAAAATTATTTATCAGCTTACGAAGCTCATGATACATGTGATGATAATTAAATCCCGACGATTAAATAAAAACGTATATGTATAGATCTGGTCTATTTAAAGTTGTTGTTGAAGAATGCACTTATTTTCCCCTCAAATATACTTGTTATGGAGTCTTGTCATACATCTCATCAATTAGCAAATAATAAGTCATTTCCTATTTCAACTACTATTCCAACCAATTGTTGCCTGTTTTATTTTAATACTAGTTATAAAGGATAGTTTTCATGTTTGAAGTTTAACATTCCTGTTTTTAATTCTTATTTATTTTCACATTTGTGCGCGAATAATCGTGTATATTGTTATGCTCGTTTACATTTTATCACAGAAACATCCTCACTGTTCCATGGATTGAATTGGGTGGGAAAACTACCATCACATGCTTAAAAACTGGCTATATAGCTAATATCGAGTTTCGAACAAAACCTTTTTATGGTGGTAAACGAGATACTTTACGTGCTGAGGTTTTTGGACCTAATGATAAGAAGGCATTTCTTATTGTTGAAGGTGAATGGAATGATAAGATGTTAGCGAAGTGGCCTCATGGTGTAAGTGAAAGAAAAAAAACAAAAAACAGTTTTCCAAGTTGCTCTTTCACTTTTTTTATTATTTTGACTTTAATGCACTATACTGTGATCAATGGTTGGCTGATTTCATCTAACATGCAGTTGTATTGTTTCAGTGGATGTTAGTAAGTAAGCGACAAAAGGTTCGCTATTCCTATGGAATAATTTCAAACATAGAGAAATCATAAATGGAAGGTTCAGTAACCTTATGAGGAAGGCTCTTAATTCAGTCAGTCAGTCAGCTACAACGTAGGACTAGGCACATATATGCATCGGTCCAAGTTGCAATACGGCATTAGCACAACAAGATGAACACCGGATTCATATAAGTAGTTAATTCAATGGTGGTAATATATAAAAGAAAGATATGAAGCGAATTTTAATCTCATGGTTTAAGGGAAGACAGAGAGTGTATACACCGACGCCATTGTGATCGATTCTCAGCCATGTAGTCCGCATCTGTCATCATGGCTCGAAGTTAGTGACTTCAAGGACTGATGCCACGTTTTGGTTTGGCCAACCCTGACTTTCTTCCAACCATCTCCAACACCGGTTAGCATTGCACGTCGTGGGAATCGGTGTTCAGGCATACGCAACACATGATCCAACCATCTCAGTCGATGAAGATTCGCAATCTCATCAACTGATTTACCATCATTCCCTAATACCCTGAGTCTAACCCAATATTACTTACCTGGTGATCCCAGCAGATGAAAGCAATATTTCTAAGGTATCTGTGGTCAAATACTTGTAGCTTACGAGTATTTTCAACTCTCAATGGCCACGTTTCGCATTCGTAATATAGAACAGAACTGCCGCACAGTATACTCGTCTTTTATTTGACAGACCGATATCCCATAGGTGACGTAAGTTGGAAAAAGTCAAACGAGTTTTCTGAATCCATGCAAAGCTTTCGTCAGACACCAACCTATTAAAGTTGATCAGTCTTCCAAGATAAGTGAAGTGGTCAACGCGTTCGACTACTTCACTCCCTATGCTTAGTTCAGGTGTTGACGCAGACCAGTCTTAAAGCAACAACTTGCATTTGGAGGGAGAGAAGCGCATTCCAAACATTCTGGCATTGTCGCTCAGTGCTACCAAAAAACTCTGTATTTTATCAGCTACTCCATCCAATAGGACTATGTCGTCTGCGTATTCTAAGTCGATAAGTGGACCCTCTGGAAGGAAATCAATGCCCAAGAACTCAGTCGACGAGAACGTAGGTCTATGATGAAGTTAAACAAAAATGGAGAAAGTGAACAGCCTTGACGGACACCACTTGAGGTTGCAAAGACAGATGACAGCTCGCCATAAGCTCTGACTCGACTAGTGGTGTTATAGTAAAGAACCTTCACAAGGTTTATGTACTTCTGAGGTACGCCTTTCCATGACAGACACTGCCACAGAATCTCGCAGTCTACGGAATTAAATGCTACTTTTAAGTCAAGAAAGACCACGATTGTCGGACGCCGGTAAGTATGCCTGTGTTCTAGAATCTGACGAATGGTGAATATGTGGTCGATGCAGCCACGACCAGGTCTGAAGCCAGCTTGAGTCTCTCGTGTTTGCAGTTCACGAGTCTTAGGTGTCTGATAATTATCGAAGCTAGTATTTTAGATATTATATTAGTTAAACTAATCCCTCTATGATTATCACAGGATGATTTTGACCCTTTCTTATATATTGGGACGATAAGTGATTGTGACCAGCTAGATGGGATAACGTCAAACTCCCAGATCTTAGCTAAAATATTAGTCAACCTAATCGCTAAAATTGGACCACCATACTTAAAGACCTCTGGAGCCAGTCCATCTGGACCAGCTGCCCTTCCTCGCTTCAGATTAACTATAGCCTTTTGGACTTCAGCAAGAGTTGGGGGACCTACTTCAATGTTCCATTCACACTGTCTGGGAATGGAGGGTAGTTGTAGAGTAGCTGAAGGCCAGTTGAACTGTTCTCTGAAATGTTCCGCCCATCGTTCTAAACGTCTGGACTGGGAGCAGATGAGAGTATCGTCTTTTTCTGATATAATCGCACTTACACTTGACTTATTAGTTCCAGTTTCTTTTATTAGTCTGTAGAGCTGTCTTGTGTTCCCTATAGTCACCGCCTTTTCCATCTCTTTTGCTTTCATTGCCTACCACTGCTCACGGTCGTTTCTTTGACTTTTTCTTAACCTAGATCTGATTTGTTTACGCTCTTCATCATGTTCGGAACCTGATGGGATGAGTACGAGAATCCATCAGTGTGATAGACTTTGAAGAAATCCATTGGTTTTTTGTAACCCTGAGTTTTAAATCACTAATCGATGTCACTGCTGTTTCCACAGCTGCTTGTATATCATTCCAAGCAACATGTGGGTCAGTTTCGTTTCCAGAACTACTAAAGTGTGACCTCAGTTGTTCCTGGAACTTACTTTTTGTTTTCTCATTACTCAATTCAGTTCTATTGGGTCTTTTTAGTGTGGCTTTTTTGCATACAGTAAGGATATTTCAGATGCGTTCCTATATTAGAGCATGGTTAGAGTCCAAGCAGGTATTCCAGAATGAGTGACAATCTTCTATCAACCAACGCCAACGATGACTAATGGCAATATAGTCTATTTGAGTCCATCGTTGGTTTGGTGTAGGGGGTCGCCATGTTAGACGATGTCTCTCCTTATGCTTAAAATTTGTGTTTGCTAAAAATAAACGATTGTCTGATCATAGTTACAGCAGACGATCACCATTACATGTTTGCTGTGCCGGAATGCTAAAATATCCACCTAGATGTTTTTCTGTTTGGTTTAAGCTACCTATCTGGGCATTAAAGTCACCTACTACAAGTTCTATGTCTGAACGTTTAGCTTTCTGAAGAAGTTCAGAAAGCTTTCTGTAAAATTCGTCTTTCACTTCACCTGAGCTGCAGTCGGTGGGAGTGTAAGCAGAAACGACTAAAAGGAAACGACATGTGTCTCTATCCTTCCGAGTTCTTACGGAGCCGTTTAGCCGAACACCACATAAACGACTGTTAACGGGGATCCACTCTAACAGTGCTTGTTCCGTCCTCATGCTTAGTGCTGTCCTTACTCCTGTCAGTCCACGAAAGCTGGCCGTCGGGTCACCAGATACTCGGAGGGTGTATCTCGTTGGCTCTCCATTTCGCTGAGTTGAGGTTAAGTGAATGACCACACTGGGATCCTGTATGCGTGTTTCAGAGACACAGCATACATCAGTGGTACGAGATTCTAGGATTCTAACCAAGGAAGCCTGTTGACCGATTTGACATAGGGTGCGTACGTTGAAGGCTCAAATGTGTAGTTTTGTGCGAGGTTTTGGTAGACCTGTAACAGTGTTTTGAGCACTAGAATCGTTCGCTATGGTGACACTTGAGGAGGAAGCCGAAAAAGGAAGTTTAGAGGTGAAAGTCGATGTAGGATGAGTAATAGGAAGTGAAGACTGAGGTTGATTATGAATACAGTGGTCTTGGGTGCTGTTAGAGGTATGAGGGCGGTTATCACTTTCCGGTTGCCCACACCGTGGAAGGGTTCTTCTGGAGGTACCTGGAAAGGAAATTGGATTAGAGGTGGTCTTCGTGACCTGAGAGCGTGACCGCAGTGCCCAAGGGACAACTGATGAGGTCGGTCACACACGACATTTTTTCGAGTAATTTTTGTGTTAGCTCTGTACTTGTCGAGACCTTACCGCCGGAGGCGGATATCCGTGGGATAAGGCGAGGTGTGCATTTTTAGGGTCTACCATTTCTTACCCCACCCCTCCCTGTGGGAAGACAGCGTCGCTGTTATGCTGGTCATCTGAGGGAAACATCTTACTGTCGTCACACCTCTGCACAGTCAGCAGTACGACTTCGCCTTCGGACCTTGGGTTTGATGCTTTTAGTCTTACCGTTCTTCAACAGACCTGTCTGGCATGGCAGGACCTTGATGAACGATTGTTCCAGCCAGTATGACCTATCTGGTTCATCACGATAAGCAAGCACGACCACCACGTCAAAATAGCGACAACAGTTGGGAGGTTCTTAATTGATTGTATAGGCATTCTAAAAGTATAAAATCAGTCAGGCTTAAGTATATTTAACTTGTTAATGTTAGTATTTGGAAGCGAGTGAACAAAAGACTACTAAATCTTTAAGTCAATCAAACGCCTGTGTCAGTCATCAAGCACAGAATTACTGCAATCTTACACAAAGAAATGTAAATCTTCAGGTAAGTGTCCATAATTTTGTTCGCTTAGGCGATAAAAAGCCCCATTTCCTTTTTAAGTCATTAATTCGATTGTTTTCAGTGTTATACTACTCAATTTTTCCGGTCACGTGGTTCGATGAGGATTTTACCTGTAGTTATTATTTTGTAATCGACCTATCTGTACTTTTTGTTATAGGTCATTTATGATCATATACATAAAATTCAGATGTCTTTTAGGAATTATTTTAATATTGTAGAAAAATGAGTTATTCATTGATACCCGTAACCTACCAACTGTAAGAAAACATGTCCTTCCTCGATCTCGCCAAGAAGAAAATGAATCAAGACGGTACGTTAATGTGATTTCGTTTGTTAGTTTATCTATTATGGTAATTGATATATATATATATATATATATATATATATAGAGAGAGAGAGAGAGAGAGTATTAGTAGGGAATTTCGCATAACATGCATTTGCTTTTTGCCGTTCGTAAAGTAAGTTAGAATATGGAGATTAAATACTGTCTCTGGGAAACATATTAATAAAATAGTTACTAATGTAGTGCTCAACCACGTTCATTGTCGTCTGAATAATTTTAAACTTTTTTATTTTATAAAACTGGGAAACATATGTTATGGAAACTATTCTTCATTTAATTTATCATAATTCACCTAACTGTTCTTCGTCATTCTAAAAATTTCCCAGTTGATTACTGTTATAACTTGTGAACCTGTGTGCCCTGTTTATTGTACAACACAACGATTCCGACAAACAGAGAGCAGCGAACTACCAACCGGACAACTGACTCATAAGACACGTGCGAGCAGCCTATGGTCCTGATTGGTCCTGCTTTCCGCCTAGCCCAGCCAGTTGAGTCCAGAACGCCAATCTCAGCCTCTGCAATATGAATCATTTATTTCAAACATACTGAGTTCATATACATACAACATATGCATATAACATACAGGGAATAATTCAAGAATGGTAAATCGTATAATAATAGTTCATAGGTCAAAATAAAACTCATAATAAGAGGGACATGAATATGGACAGTCTAGTTACATAACAATTACACGATAAAAATACACTCATAGTAATGGTCCATAAATGGATCCCAAAAATTACCATTCATTATTCTTATCGGGATATAACAATTCCAGTTAGTTATTATCTGGCTAACTTATGAATAGTTTACACATTAACACTTCTCAAACAAAAGTTCAACATAAAGTCTTACCTTACACTTATTATTTATCTTCTTAACTCTTTCTGCTTGCTTATTTTGTTATTACATTCACTAGTGTTTCATAGTGTGGCAACTTGTAACCTACGTATTCTGACGGATGATGTTATTATCTGATTCTTATCATTCATCATTATTTAGTTTTATGTTATTTTCAAGATTTTTTCGATACTCAATCAACTCAAAGAGATAATCGAAGGGCTTTGTGCTATCTTTAGTTTCTTCTAGTAGGTTGTATGATTGGTTGCTTTTTCTTTTAAACCTTGACTGTTGAGATCGTGGAAGCGTACCTGCCGTTCACGACAGAATTTGTTACTAATGATTTCAGTATAAAAGCGTTTAATCTTTTATATCATAACTTCAGCATAACATAAAGTAAGGTTTCTTTGAAACGTGTAAACATATTTTTCATTCAGCATACAGTTTGTTGAGAAATAAAGACAATAAATAATATTTGATAGGATTTCGGTCATCTAGTTACATGTTGTCATATATAAACTAACAATATGAGTGGATTAGTGATTTTCTGTAAATGACGACGTTAATCAGTGAACGGATAGTTAGTCTATCAAAATTATGATGAGTTCAGCTACACAAATGTCTTTTATATGTTTAGTTATCTTCTGTTATGATTGATTCCGTTACCTATACACGGCTACCCGGATGAAATTTTATAAGTTAGTCAAGAAGCTTTTTTTATATTACTTTGCTATTTCGTAATGAATCGTAAAGTATTCAGTACAGTAGGTTGGGAGGAATTACTTTATTCAATGTACATTTCCTAAATTCTTTTCAACATTTGTGTAGATTGTGGGAGGAAGTGACATATAATTTAAAAGTGGGTAATATCGATGCAGCATCTGATGCTAAACATCGTTTGGAACAGCGACAACGAGATTTAGCTCGACAGAGAAGAGACTCAAAAAATACATGGACACCAAAATACTTTCGTGAAGAGGGAGAAAACTGGATTTATAGACATCCTTTAATTCAACGCCTACATCAATCACTCAATCAAAATAGTTCTCCTACTGAACCACGAGCAATCTCCAAAAATACGAATTTAGCATGTTCACCGGATATAGTTGTTAATCCAGTTTCTTGCAACAACGCAATAACCGATTCTCCTCAGATAGTCCATGCTACTACAACTAATTCTTCAATCCCTGTAATTGAATATTTCCCCAGTCCATAATTTATAACTTCATATGATTTTTAGAAATTACAGTTTTTTTCCGGTTTATCACAATTAATGTAAAGCTCGACAATAATATTTGTTTTGCTCAAAGTTGAGATAATATGTATTTTTAAGATCTTTTTCCCTTTAATATCTTTTTTTTTTAACATTTCATTGTCTTTGTTCTCCGCACTTATTTGTGTTTCTTTCAAAACCAGTTTCATGGACGATTTTGAATGCACATTTCTCTAGTGGTTTTACACATCCTCTCTCCTCTATCTATAATTTCTTAAATGGTGCTCGGATTGATTACATATTCATTCCATAATAATCATAATGCAAACGATATTATCCCCCTTTTGGTTCTCTATTCATCTCGCGTTTTTTTTCTGTTATATTTCACTTCTAACATTCAATTCTGTTATTTATTGTTTGCTTCTCTAGTTTGATTTTTATTTTGAAACTTTTATTAAAATGGATTCATTGTACTACCATATTTTTCTTTCCCATTTACTTTCATCGTTTTTTTTCCTTTTAAGCTTCCTATAACTTGTTCGCTTGTTTGTTACTTTCCTTCTGTACAAAGAAAGTCAGCAAGATGTATTAAATGCTCTGACCGTAGAATAGTTACATGTGTGTGTAAACAAGGGTCCTACTATTTCTCTGTATGATCATATTTGTTATGTACTATATAATTTGTGTTAACCTGTCGAGGTCGATAACTATTTTCAGTATTTAAACTTTTCAAATGTTTGATTCTATTTTTGCTAACTCATCGTTTTCTCAAAAATCGGAGTTACAGCCGTTACTCTTGTTTTCCATTTTAAATATAGCTGTTTACAGAGATGTGACTCCACTCGACTTATATCAAGTATAATATAGATATATTCTGCTTTGTCTCAATAAACACTGTAAGAGTAGATTTGTTTAGATAGTTCAGTGCATTCAAATTACATAACTAAATACGTTTACTGTACACATTAGCTTAAGAGTCGATAGTTATCATAGAAGTGTTTTAATTATACGAAAATGCACTTTTGATAAAAGTTGTGGTCTTGATGCGGCTGTTGATGATCTTTGGAAAATACTACCACGTACTGGATATCTGCGATTACTGTAGTTTCTGCAAGACACTTCAGAAAAAGCTTAACCATGAGACAATACAGGAAACGGATAGTGGATTGATCTATAACCACCGATGAAACTATTCCAACGCTATGGCTGCTTTCCATTGATTCGGTATGACAGGCAACTTGTTGAAACAAAAGACGGAAAAACTAATAATGTAAGGGAAATTATTGTATTTCCAGATAGTCTACTTATGTTCAGAAATATGCTAGTCGCTTTGTGTATGAAAAAGTAAATTTGTGGTAGAAATTGTAGTCCACATTTTAACTTGCAGGTCAAAGTATAAAAATTGTCCAAGACTAATGCAATTACTGAAGAGCTAGAAGTGTGACTCAGGTCCTTAGTATATTAGAGTTCACCGATCTTAATGTGAAACATCCTATAAGTAAGGCCAGTTTTGGAAACATTACTACTACTATGACACGATCGTACGTTACCCGTACTAACCTCTTTCTGGCTAACAGCGTAGTCCAGAGGTATTTAGTATTTTTAAAAAGAAAATGTGGATATATATTGCGAGGCAAAAGAAGCTAGATAGAACATGCTATTCATTGATAAATGAATAAACAAATTCGTATGACTTGAGAGTTGCAGATGAAAGAGGTATACTTCGGAGTTAACCCGACGCGTTCTCGTGATTCTACTTCGACGTTGAGTGCCATACCTAATAAAGTCAGATTCGGCCTCTCATTTTCACATTACATGTTAAGGTTGGTTCATCGAATGGCACAGCAGACTGATGGTTATGTGAGGTATTGTCTTTAGGAGTTAAATCACTGTAGGATGACGTGATCATACATCAAGAGATCTATACAACCACACAGTTAAGATCAGAAGGATCACTTCCGGAAAGTGGTAGTGCTTACTAGAACGTCGTAGTTGAATGTCTCTGAAATATCTAATGGAGGAATCAATGTGCTGGTTTGCTGAGTTTCGTTTCCTTTTTCTTTCTTTGAATATATCGATACTGCTTAACTATAATTGGTCGCAAAGAATTCTCACCAATATCCTGACAAGTTGTTGTTCCAGCCTTACGATCGTTTTGAGTATTATTCTTTCTCCAAGCCGTACCATCGGACCTTACGGCTGCGACAATGTGCCAGAGCAGGCAGTTTGTTCAACAAACCCGAAAGTACACTGAAAATCTTATTCGATGCTTACCATGGGAATCTAATTTCACCACAGATAACACTGACACAGAGTTTTCCGATTTATACCACGATGTGTTGCATTGTCTTGACTGCACTTCCACAATTATTAACCAAGTGATTAATAATGCTGAAATGGGGCCAAAATATTTTTGAGCGGAAGCACCGCTACCACATGCAACATGATGTATATTCGCCTCAGAGTATGCTTACCGTGATTGACAGAGATGATTTACCCAACGCAAGTATCTCATGGAGAATAAGACGGTAAAAACTCAGACTTATCAATGCACCGACTTTTCAAATGTTGCATGAAATCAAATACTCTTAGTACAACCAGGTTTTACATAGTTAATAGCAACATTATATTCAACTATGATACTATTTATCAACAGTTCAACCACTTTTCTCTATGCTAGACCACAAAACCGAAACTTCTATCAATACGATTCTATTGTTGACACCTTAGCATCTATCCATAATTGATCTCACATCTACCAACATCAAGAATGCCACAACTGCCCCAAAAAGGTCCCATAACGGTAAAACTGATGGCATTTCGCCATCAGTCGTGGTGTACGGTAGCAGAGATTTACCATTACTCATTTTACAACTGGAATATGAAACTTGTCAATGTGTATGGAAAACATCGCTTATCTCTCATAGTTTGAAAACGGGATCATTAAGAGATATTAGTGACTATAGGCCCTTTAACAAGACATCTGTGATATCACGAATCATGAAAAAAGATTCACACAGAGCTAATATAATTCTTACTTTCGGGAAGCATCATCTACCTATCTCAAAATGGGTTTTTGACTGTGTAGGGCCAGTGAAATTCCACTGAGCCCTAGCCTAATCATCCGGCAGTTAGGTCATTGAGTATCAAACCGGTCATCGATCCTCGCCAAGGTCAAGGACAACCAACGCGCATCAGTTAATTGTACGCCATGGACTGGCCCATGCGGCGGGGGTCTTACCTTCGCTTGTATTTACTTTAACTAATATAATTCTGTAATAAAGTCCTTTTTGTTGTACAGTCTTCAAAGCATCTATAATACCTTGATACGTCAATCGGGCAATCGACGTAAGGTACTGACCGCAATGTGTGACTTCGACGTTTGCTAGTTCGTCACACCATTCCCGTTTAATTCGAGTAGGCCTCCAGTCATTTCGACATAGATAATCTACGTTGGTGATCTACAACTGAGCGCATATGCTCCACATTACTTTGAAATTTTTCATCAAATTACCCGGCGAAGTGATATTGGTTAATCAGCAATAACTCTATGCTTCGATTTTAGTAGGGCCTTCGATAGTATCTCACACAACTTTCTTATAAAACTGTCCTCATTAGGTATGCTGGATCTCACTTCATCTTTGTTCAAATCTTTTTATCAGAACTTAGCCGAACGGTTCGCTTTAGATCTTGCTACTCCAAGCCTATGAATGCAACAAGTGGGGTTATACAAAGAAGTGTGATTGATCTATTACACTCACTTCTTTCGAATAATGATGTTTACATCTTTTCGATACGGTAAACCCTTCGTTTTTGATGATGGCCTAGAAATCGTTTATTAATTCTCGTGTTCTACCAAAGAAACCTGCACTTCATCGGTAATCCAAGATGACACAAATAACTTTTAAGAATGGCCTGTTCCTTGAAATCTGCCAATTAATGTTGACGAAAGGGGGTGATATGAAACTATGTCGGCTCCTCACATAGTTTTCATGCCGCCCACGGATCTTTCGACATTTTTGTTGGTGCAGATGTTGTCGATTTAGTTCTCTGTGGTGTGATCTGGTGGAATCTATGTACTTACGTACTTACTTACTTACGCCTGTTACTCCCAATGGAGCATAGGCCGCCGACCAGCGATCTCCAACCCACTCTGTCCTGGGCCTTCTTTTCTAGTTCCATCCAATTCTTGTTCATTTTTCTCATGTCTATTTCCATTTTTCATCGTAATGTGTTCTTTGATCTTCCTCTTTTCCTTTGGCCTTCAGGATTCCATGTTAGGTCTTGTCTTGTGACGCAGTTGGGTGCTTTCCTCAACGTGTGTCCTATCCACTTCCAGCGCCTCTTCCTAATTTCTTCCTCCGCTGGGATCTGGTTTGTTCTTTCCCACAGTTGGTTGTTGCTAATAGTTCCCGGCCAATATATCCGAAGTATTTTGCGTAGACAACTGTTAATAAACACCTGTATTTTCTGGATGATGGCTTTCGTAGTTCTCCAGGTTTCCGCCCCATACAGTAGAACTGTATTGACATTTGTATTGAAAATCCTGACCTTGGTGTTGGTTGACAGTTGCTTTGAGTTCCAGATGTTCCTCAGTTGTAAGTATGCTGCTCATGATTTGCCGATCCGTTCCTTCACACCTGAGTCAGATCCACCCTGTTCATCAATGAAGCTGCCCAGATAAGTAAAGGTCTTTACAACTTCCAAATCTTTTCCGTCAATTGTGATTGGGTTGGTGCATGCTGTGTTGTATCAGAGAATCTTGCTTTTTCCCTTGTGTATATTGAGACCCGCTGTTGCTAAGGCTGCTGCCAAACAGTTCGCTATCTCCCGCGTTTGTTGTTGCAATTGCGATAGGAGGGCCAGATCATCTGCGAAGTCTAGATCATCCAGCTGCGTCCTAGTAGTCCAATGTATCCCATGCATCCTCCCAGATATTGACGTCTTCATAATCCAGTCGATCAACAAGAGAAAGAGAAAGGGTGAGAGTCAGCAACCTTGCC